CGTGCACCAGTGAAATCGCACCCCATTGGAAAAGCCTGCAAACACCCCGTTCCACCTCTTTTTCTGATTTTTGGGGTCACTTCTGGGTTTGGCACGATGTGTGTGTGTGTGTGTGTGTGCAGTCACACACATATTGAATGTGCATAAATGGGGGGTTGCCTGTATTTTAAATTACCCAGTGACAATGTGACGACATCTTTGTGTAGCGATAGTGAAACACGTCTCTAAATGGCACTAACATTTCGGAACAGGGGGATGAAAGAGGGTTAAAAACCAACCTGATTTGAGGGAATAGTGAAAAATCTCCACTTCAGTAGTAGCCTCAGATTTGTTTGCTACCCAGGGTTTCTGGAGGAAAGTACTGTGAGGAAGACCTGGTTGAAACATCTGTTCTATTTTATGATGCATCTTAGCTTGAACATAGCATCAAATCCAGAGATGTTCTAGGTCACTGCTCCCAAACCTGTAGCTCATCTTGCCTACAAACTCTTCTGGCTTAATGTGTACCAGATTCACAGGAGAAGTGTATTAAAGTATTAACTTTTCAGAGTTCTCAAGGAAGTAGGCTAGCAGTGAGGGACAGGAGAGAAATTTGATTTTGTTTGCCCTTTAATGAGAAACTTCTCAGTTTGCACTTCTTGAGCCAGCATACCAAAACACATCTACCCTCCTGAATTTGCACTTTGTGACGCGGTTCAAGTACCAATGTGCACAAGAATAGATATGTCCATCGCAGGAAGTGCATTTAATGAGAAACTACCTAGGTTTGCGCTTCTTGAACCAACATGGGAGACCAAAACACAGCTTTCCTCTTTAAGTCATACTTATCTGAATTTTGTAATGATGTTCTTGTACCAAACAATGTTTACAAAACTTTAATTATTTGGGGAATGTGTGTTATTAGTGAAAATAACATACAAATATCCAATGTAATTATTATTATTATTATTATTATTATTATTATTATTATTATTATTCCGGGGCCATCTGACTGGGTTTCCCTAGCCACTCTGGGCAGCTTATAGAATACTGTATTTTTCACTCTAAGACACACCTAGTTTTTGGAGGAGGAAAACAAGAAAAAAAATATTCTGAATCTCAGAACCCAGAACAGCAAGAGGGATTGCTGCGCAGTGAAAGCAGCGATCCCTCTTGCTGTTCTGGCTTCTGGGATAGCAGCCTGCATTCACTCCATAAGACACACACACATTTCCCCTTACTTTTTAGGAGGCAAAAAGTGAGTCTTATAGAGCAAAAAATACGGTATATAAAACATAATAATTAGGGGAAACGGCTTGTGAAAATACATTTTTGAAGCGGGTTTTGCAACACTAATCAAAACAGTATACAAAAATATGTTGACTTGGCGAAATTTCTGCTGATGAATACTCGTAAGGATTGTTAAAAGTAAATTGCAAATTTCTGCAAAAATGTGGGGAACTTAAGGTTGGAAAAATGAGATACTGAAACTGATTCATCCCTATGAGTGGCTAACCCCACCAGGTGGGAAACATAATCCTTAAGAGTTTCTCCCAAAAACCCGTGTTCATTCTGCTCTGTCTTTGAGGTCCCTCTCCACACCAGGATTTCACACTACTTCTTAGTCTCATTTTAAGCCCATTTTGCTTCTTTTTACTCATTTGCGAAGATTCCAGGAAACTCAGGTTGCTTGCTTGGGAACAAGCCGAAACTTAATCCAGTTAAGATGGAGTTGCTTTGGGTGGGCAAGTCACTTAATTTAGAAGGTGACGTTCAACCAGTTCTGGATGGGATTGCAGTCCTGCTGCTGCCCGACTTGTTATCCTAGCTCCTAGACTTGTTATCTATAGAAGCGCAGGTGATCATGATGAGTAGGAGCCCCTTTTATCAGCTCAGACTGATACACCAGCCATGGTCCACTGTAGGTATGGTAGTTCTGGTCTTATTTATCAATTCCCTGGTTACATCTAACCTTGACATCTGCAATATGCTTTATGAGGGGCTGCCTTTGGAGATGGTTTGGAAGCTTCAGTTAGTGCAAATTGCAGCTGTCCAGCTGTTTTGGAGCCTATTGCTCTGATATGGTACCAGTGGCACGAGTTAGCTGTTTGCAGGCCCCCATTCAAAGTGCTAGTTATGGTCTTAACAGTTTAGGACCGAGTTATTTGAAGACTGACTGCACTCCTATGAGTTTCAGAAGTCTTGATCCTGGAACTACCAGTGGCTAAAATTGGTGGATACAGGAGATGCCACCTTTTTGATGGTGCCCCGCCCCCCACTTTCTCCCTCAAGAGTTGCATGAGACTCTCACTTTGACTTCCTTTAGATGAGGTGTAAAGATCTTCATTTATCAATCGGTTTTTGGTTGAGACAAACTGAGCTGATTGTGACATATCACATGTGATCCTGTCTTGAGTTATTTTAACTAATTTGAATGATTATTTAACAAAGTTGTTTGACTGTTAATCCGCTTTGGGAGGATCTGATTCTGAAAAGTAGCATACAAGTCATAACAATACCAACAATAATATAAGAAACTATGTAAGGCTCTGGAGAAGCTGTCAAACTTTGCTTATCTTCCATTCCCCATCATAACATTTTCTGTGGTTGCTTCTGGAGGACATCTTGTTTTTGGAGATCCAGAGTCTGACCCCGCCCCAAGAATTCATACCAGACCACTCCAAGAACCACCGGCATACCTTATGTTAGATGTCAGGTCAGAGAGAACACTTGTGTTCCTGCTCCCTACTTTGGAACAGGTAATCAGCATCTTCAGGTTTTCCACTCTCTCATTTCCCTGATCTTCCTATCCACTCTACCCTTGCACTGCCCAAAGCCCTAACATTTTCATCTTGAGTTGACCCTGTTGCTTCTGAGGTGTCCATTACAGCCTGCTCAGTCCCAAGTGTCCTCTCAAGGGCCACATTCCCTCAAGTCCATCCTCCCGGGGGCCACATGACAGGGATGGGTGGGGCCAGAGGCAATGGATATGACTCCTCCCTTTGGACACTAGTCTACATTCCATCCATACAAAATCAGTGGTCCCTCTCTATCCGCCCTCCAAACAAGTGAGGTGCATTATCACTGTCCAAGGACACCTTCTGGCCACAGAGGCATGTGAACAGTTGGGAGCAGGAGGACCAGTAAGAGGTGTGGCTTGGATTAATTTTTGGGTGGATCGCCAAATATTTTGGAAGGTTGAATAGAGAAGACTGAAGAGCTACATTTGGCCTCTCGGTCTCGATGCGTTTGGAGTTTATATTTATCAGTGGAAATTGAACTTAACAACGAGCCACCCATTTACACACAGACATGCAAGTATACACATGCATCACATAGAAGAATGTTTTCTGTATTCAGATAATAGTCCCAAGTATCAATATTGTTTTTGTGGCTTGCAGATCTCTAGCACAGATTGGCTGAGCTTATGGGATAGCTCAGAATGTTTGTTCAGGAAACTTAAGCAGTTTGCAGGCAAATTCTGTGAGGAACGAGAATGCTGTCAGCTTGGCTGAGGTTTAAAAACTTACACTGAGAAAAGATTGTAGGAGGTAAAGAAGCTCAGAGGCAAAAGGAAGGGTGCAGAATGAGCAATGGATTTAAGCGGGAATATGGATAATAATAATTTATTTTTTATATGAAGCAAGGTATGAGGAGAATAAGGTTTGAGATGAGCGGATGAGACTAATAGAACTGAGACATTGACAATGCCCCGGGCAGGCAAGGGGCTGTTGGACTACAACTCCCATCATCAGCCTCACCCAGCATCATTGATATTCAGGGATCATGATGGCTGTAATCCAGCACCAAGGGCACCAAGTTGGGCAAGGCTGGTCTAGAGTTTGAGGGCAGTTCTGCCATTTGAGACTTTTGTCACCATAGCATTGTGAACGGCAACCAGAACGAGCCAGGAAAGGCCACGAAACCAATGGAGAGAGGAGATAAATGAATGGTGTGTGGTGATTTTGATCCTAACTTGCCAGTTCTTTGACCAGTCGGTTAATTTCTTAAATGGTAGGAAAAAAGGATCAGAACTCACCCGTCAAATAGAAGTGATCACTAATAATAAAAAGTTATGTCAGAATATGGTCAACCAGGTATAAGGGGCCAAGCCATAGTTTGACTTGGCATTCCATGTGGACCCTGAATTGTTGCCAGTCTCTCCCAAGCAAACTATGGCCATCAAACCAAGAACCACCTTGGTTCTGGATAGGGCAGCAGGGCTGGGGAAACAGCAAAATGGATGCCAATTTTTTTCCTTTGGGTACCCACAGCTTTGTTCATTCAGGCTAAGCCATTGTTTGGCTTAGCGTTATGTGTGAACCCAGCCATAGTTTGGTGTGCGTAGAGCAAGATTCTCAGAAGCAACCTTTTCTTTCTTTCTTGACAGTGTCCACCGTGCCAACTTCTTTGGTACCTCTGAATAGCAGAAAGTGATGCTTTTCCCAGGGGGAAATCTGAGTCACCTTAGTAGTCGTTTTGAAAAATGCCACCTAGAAAAAGCAACCCCTGGTTAATTCATGGAGGTTTTCAGAGGAGAAATGCAGAACCAAAAACACACTGTGGCTGTCACAGAGCAGGAACTGTTAACCCCGGTAGATAATTTGAGAAGTACTGGTCTCTGAGGCCCAGTCCGACCCCAAAAAGGCTTGTTGTATGTGCTGGGAGGGGATTTCAACAGTATTTGGTGGCCTGGCCCCAAAATGGCTACCAGTACCAACATCTGACAGGTACCAGTTGTAGTTGCTGCATTCCTGCTGGGCACCAAAACTGATCGGCCACTTGAGGAGTTACAGGGGGGCTGCGCTTCCATCCATTGCTGCTATCTTCCTAATACTGTAATTTCTTTGGTCCAAAACCAGCCCCAACCGCCGTGCCGTCTCCTTTTCCTCATGGTGGCCTTTCCCTCCGCCGTCCCCCAACGCCCTCCCATTTCCCCATTTATTCATTTTTTAAAAAAACCTCACAACCCTCATCTCAGTTGCCACCGGGGCAGGAATCTCCTATTCCCATCCCCAGCAGGCAGCTCACTCCCAGCCTCCAGCATCGTGGTGGTTGTTTGGGGGGTGGGGGGAGGAGAGAGAGAGACCCTTGTCGTCCAATCCCTCCGCGCTTATCCAACTATAGCTCTATTTTCAAGCCCCCCCCCCCCGCTCCGATCTCTCTTCCTCTCCCGGCGTGCCTGATTCAAGGCAGCCGAAAGGCGCGCTGGGTCCTCTGCGCGTCTTTGCCATGCGTCTCCTCTGGAGCTGAAACGCACCGGAGGGCTGCGGAGCCCCCGCTCGCCTACGACGAGGAGCGCGCGCGTCCCGCCCGACCGCCCACCCTTCCTGCTCTCTCGTGGCGGCGTTGCAAGCCAGCCTCGACGTCTCCCCCCCCCAGCCCCCCGAAAGCAAAAAAGGAAAAAAGGGGGGAAAGCCCCCTTCCAAAAGCTGCGTCCTCCTGCCTTTCCAAATTGCAAAAAGAGGCTGCAGCAAACACCCAACACCACCATTATTACCACCGCCGTCGTCGCCACCTCCTCCTCCTCCCTTTCTCCTTTTGGCAGCACCAGGACGTCCGGTGTGGTGCTTCTGCTGCTGCTGCTGCTGCTGGGGGCAGCGCGCACGCGAGCTCGCCTTCGGCGCCTGCCGCTTTCTTCCGAGGTGCCTGGCCGGGCGGGGCGAGCGATCGCGGAGGCGACGAGAGCGCGGCTGCAGCCCAAGCCAGGAGCCACGATGAGCGCGCGAGCCGAAGGAGCCGGCCAGCCCTCGACTTCGGGAAGCGCCGCCGCCGCTGCCGCCGCTTCCCAGGAGCAACCTGCCACCTCGGAGCCCCCGAAGAGGGGTCGCGGCAGACCCAGGAAGCAACCCCAAGTTAGTAGCCTGGTCGCGGAGAGCGCGCGCAAAGCCGGGTTGGCGGAGGAGCGGAGGGGGGGGGACACACCGGGAGGGCACGTGCCCGGCGGCGAGGAAGCGGCGCGTGGTTGGAGATGCGACGGTGGTGGTGGTTGCTGCTGCTGTTATTGTTGTGGCGGCGGGTGCATTTGCTGACTGCGGGAAAGAGGATGGGGGGGGGGGAGTCCCTCTTGGCGAGGACAGAGGGACGTGTGTGTGTGTGTGTGTGTGCGTGCTGGATTGTCCGTCTGTCTGTCTCTCCAGGCGCGCGCGCGCGCGCTTGTTTCTTTTTAAAAGGCGAAAACTTCCCTCGGCCTTTCTCTATTGTGTGCCCGGGAGGGTTTATTTGGCTCTGGAGCGCAGAGCAGCTCGGATCCCACCAACCAGCGCTCCGAGCAGATTTTTAAACTGGAGGGGTATGCAAGGGGAGCAGCAGGCAGGCTGGGCTCCCCGACTGCCTTTGCTACGTCTCAGTCTTTGTGTGTGTGTGTGTGTGTGTGTGTGTGTGTATAGTTGGTCTCCCAGAGGGCACTGCCGTCCCCGGTCCTCCTTATCTTGGCTATGGGGGGTTTAAAAAACGCGCCACACTCCTTCGGTGCATATGTACAAAAGGAGACCCTCCCTGATCGCCTGCATGTCTGCGTTATCACATTCCACCCCACGCACCGGGAAACTCTGCTTTTTTTTTTTAAAGGAGGGGTGATTCTGGCTTGGGAGACCCCCCCCCCAATCTCCTCGGACACTTTCCTGCAATCCACAATCGAGCTGGGTTTTGCTCGCCGAGCATGTAAGAAAGACGCCTGGCTCTCGCTGCCTCTTTGCACAAGGCATTGGGAACGCCAGAAATACTTTGTACTTCTCTAAGTAAACAGGCCAGTGGGGATACCGGGCTTTTTTCTCTACTACACACACGCACACAAGTCTGCGAATGCAACCAATTAAGCATTGCAGTTGTAGCTCTGCGGAGCCGGCATGGAGAAAACTGCATCCTGGCCGGCGTTGCTGCAGCTGCTGCTTGCAATGTTTTCGAGATCCTCGGAAATAGCGATCGGGCAATAGGGATACGCGAAGTGCATTTAAAACTTGACTTCCGCGGGCTTTTCTCCCCCCCCCCCTTTCGTTTTTAAAAAAAGTTTACTTCATTCATTATCGTCAAACCACTTCCTTTCAGAGCAAATCCGATGATCAGCAAACCGATCTGAGCCCAGAAACGCCTCTGAAAGGGCGCCTCCTAGAACGAGGGTGGATGAGCACCCCCAAAGTCCTCACGCCCAGCCGCTCCTATGTCCACCCCCCTTTCTCCAGCGAAATGCAATAAAATACCTTTCGGAAGGATTGCAAGCCCCCTCCCCTTGCGTTACCTTTGTTGAGCTATCACGACGTTCCTTCCCCTTCCCAGCTCACCCACCTACTACCCCAGCCTGTTTGTTTTTTTTGTTTTCGCAAAAATTGTGTGTGTGTGTGTGTGTGTGTGTGTGTGTGTGTGATTTGAGAATGGAATGTTTAGGGTTTCAGTGGATTTCACAGAAAAAGCCCCCCCCCACAATGTGTCTCCCCTCTCCCCCCCCCCCCAGTCAGTGTTCAGCATTGTTTCTGTTGTGACTCTTTTGGAGAAGGATATTGTGTCACTTAAGTTTCCTTTCTAGCCCAAGAGTTTACCAACAGGGAGAATTCCAAGACTCCTTTAACAAACTGAATTTAATTAGTCTTACCGCATCCTGTAATCCAAATGAAATGTTCAGTATTTGGAAGTGGATGTGGAGGAGATGGATATATATTTTCTTTTAGTCCATATGATTCACTGAGTAAATATTTGGAATATCTGAAAACTGAAATCATATTCAGATGATGATTTTATTTACTATCAAACAGAGAAGCCATTGGGGAACAGAGTGAAAACAATCAGTGTTTTTGTATACCTTGGAGCCCAGGCTTACCAGGACAGTGCTCCACACAATATATAACGTTAAGCTATAGAACAAGACACAACTCTCTTTGTAACTTTCAGATATTTTTTTTAAAAAAACTATAATTTAGACAGACTTCAGTATTTTAAGTTCTTTCATATTGGAAATCTACATCGAAGTTAAACCTCTTATGTGATTGCAAATGTAAATCAAATGAGTAATTATAAATTGATTGTGAAAAGCCATGAATGGTTAGAATTGCAAACGTCATCCTTGATTATTAAGGTTGGGGAAGTTTATGTAAAGATTGGAGAGAGTTATCCAAAGTGTCAGAGCATACACACATTTTCATTAGTTTGTCATTCACTTCCAGTAGAGATGAACAAATGTTTTAGTAAAATGCACTCACGTTAATGTTTTTCTGCTCTTTTTATTTTATTTCACTATTGAAACTGATTCAGTAACTGACACTGTTCGTTTTGTGCATGTTAAGTGTCCTACCTTGTGTTTCAGATCTTTATTGAGATTCTTGCCACAATAGCATGTTTTCCTGTGTTTAGGAACCAATGGGAGAGCCATCTCCTAAAAGACCAAGAGGAAGACCTAAAGGAAGCAAAAACAAGAGTCCCTCTAAAGCAGCGCAAAAGGTGAGGTTTGCTCATATTACCACCCACCTATCAGTCAATGTCCAAAGGATTTCAGTTGTGGAACATTTAATCTGCAGAGTTTGTGCCATTTTAATAATATTTCATGAAAGGGTGTTGTAGGAGGAGCCAGTACATTCCGGGGCAGTTTTCCTTCCATTCTGAAATTAGTAATCCTTGGTTGCTACTTAAACATATTTAAGTTCTGCACTCCAGGGTGCTGCTGTAGAAGAAATAAAAATCGAGTGCTGAGAATTAAGTACATTTTGAATATCTTATCACTAAAAATGCTAATTCTGCAGGCTTCTATGTTATATCCAAACTGTCTGCTGCAGCTGAGTGTTTCATTAAACGTGTGGATGGGCATAAAACCAATGATGGCTTGATGAGAATCAGGATGTGTCTGAAAAAGTGTTAATTATCAGAAATTATTATAGGGCGTGTTCTAGGGCACTATGCTAACTTATGCCTTATGTTGTTTGTTGGATTCATTTTGGAGGCAAGTTTTTGAAAGAAAATAGAAACCATCATTACATTTTGAATATTGTCAGGAGATGGGAGACACCAACAGATTAGTTGTAATGAAGGGGTGAATCCTTTTCGTCCTCAGTTGGTTTTTGAAAAGACTTTCAGGTTCAATGGAAGTGAAAGAACTTTTTTATCTAACAAATGTACAAATATTGGGCTAATTTTTTTAAATTTTTTTTTTACCAGAAGAATACTAGTAACATTAAGAAACAGTTGTATGGAGCTTTGAAAATAAACACTGGAGTCATGTTTCTGTAGACAAGTCACCCAGCAGTTAGCACCAGCACTCTTGATTTACAAGTACAGTGGTACTTTGGGTTACAGACGTTTCAGGTTACAGACGCTTCAGGTTACAGACTCTGCTAACCCAGAAATAGTACCTCGGGTTAAGAACTTTGCTTCAGGATGAGAACAGAAATTGTGCGTTAGCGGTGCGGCGGCAGCGGGAGGCCCCATTAGCTAAAGTGGTACCTCAGGTTAAGAACAGTTTCAGGTTAAGAACGGACCTCCAGAACGAATTAAGTTCTTAACCCAAAGTACCACTGTATATTGTTGAAAACAAAGTCTTACCAAACCTGGATGTCAACTGTGGTGTATGTTCTTTAGCTGTGTAATTGTTAGAAGCTATGTGGCAGAATGCCTTTTAGAATACTGTTGTGGGCTCCTCAGATTATAGATAATTTTTAGTATGGTGGTTTGTGCTTGTGGGAATCTGTCCTTTTATGTTTGATAGTTTTCAGGGTTATAAAATACCACAGCAAGTTATGATAAATTTTATTTTATTTAGGGACTGACTGTGGTCTTGTGTCTGTTTTATTTTAACTTTTGGATATCAATACAGTACTTCTCTCTCTTAATTTGCTCTTCCCCTTTTCTCTCTTTAGCAGCTGAAGTTTAAAAAGGTATATTCAGCCAGCTAAGTGGTCTATTCCCTTTTGTTAAGGGTTTTGTCACCCTAGCTTCCCTGTAGCATTCTTAGTTGGCTGTTCCTCATGTAGTTTTTGAGCAGGGGTGGTTAACCTGCGGTCCTTCAGATGTTGTTAGACTCCAGCTCCCATCAGCACCAGCCAGCATAACCAGTGGCCAGGAATGATGGGAGTTGGAGTCCAATAACATCTGAAGGGCTGTAGTTTAGGTACCTGTGCTTTAGAGATATATATCCAAAAGACATATATATCTACAACTCAGAGTAAGTTCTATCATTTTAAACCTCTTAGGTTGCAATCATACACACACTTACTTGGGAGCGCAAGTCTCACTGAACACACTGGGCTTACTTCTAGGGATAGTCTTTATAATATGCAGTTAAAATTGCATTTACAGCAAGGGACATTTAAACATTTATAGAGCTTAAACAACAAATAAGCTTCCTACCAAAATTATTTTAATGCACATACTATTGATTTCAGTGGGACTTAAAAGGATCCTTAGGATTGCAAGCCTATGGAGAAATAATAATCAGCCTACATTTGTAGGAACATTTTGGAATATAAAGTGAATTTTAGGCAGAAACGGAACATCTTAGTAAATAAACATTTAGTAAACCTTTCATAGCAAAAATCATAGTAAAACCTGCATGCTGGTTGAACTCAAAACAATGATCTGTGTCTGATATTTGTGTTTATGCAGTTTAAATGTTCACATATGAGTTGGTTTGTTATCTATTTTTAGAAAGTCAAAACTTGGTAGGAATGCTTGCAAGGAAGTATATACTGTACAGTGGTACCTCAGGTTAAGTACTTAATTCGTTCCGGAGGTCCGTTTTTAACCTGAAACTGTTCTTAACCTGAAGCACCACTTCAGCTAATGGGGCCTCCTGCTGCCGCCGCGCCACCGAAGCACAATTTCTGTTCTCATCCTGAAGCAAAGTTCTTAACCTGAAGCACTATTTCTGGGTTGGCGGAGTCTGTAACCTGAAGCGTATGTAACCTGAGGTACCACTGTATAACCAATCCTATTCTAGAGATCCGTGTGTGCATTTGGATGTACAAGCTGCCTCATTCATTCCAATGGAGGGAACAGACCCAATTTTGTGGAAGATGGTTTACACAGGTGTACCTCCTGCATTGGAATGAATGAGGAAACTCCATATATGAATTCCCTGGTTTTGTGTCTAAGGTTAAGGTTTACAACTCCGTGTGATGCTAGCATGCCATGCTATGCTGATCCTTCAGAGCATTTGGAATTATTGCAAAATATCTGTTCTTTAAACAAAAGCAAAAAGCTTCAGTTTTGAGGATGTCAACTCTTGGAAATAATTTGTATCGTTGTGAGGCATGCTTGTTCATTTTTTTTAAAAAGCTTCCATATGGTTTTATTTCCATCTTTCAAAGCAGTGCTTGTTCACTGCTGAAGAGCATTTTACCCTTAAAGATGGTTCTATATGCAGTGAAAAGTGGCTGGAATTTCTGTTGAAGAATGGGTGGCCTCTTTTTCAAAGGGAGCTAATTGAAATGTATTATGCCTACAACATGCCAGATAAACGTGCAAGGCTAGAATTCACAGAGGAGACCTAAGAAGGCACTCATGATTAATTGATCAGGTGTTCTCTTGCAAACTCTTGCACATCATAATTAAAAATGTATTACACAACTGACAGGGAATTTTTTTAAAAAAGAAATGCACATAAGGAGGTAGATTGCTTTGTTATATTTCAACAACAAATACCTTTAAATCTTTGTCCTGGAATGTTAATTGCTGTGTGCATTTAAAATTTCTTGGTGCATGGTGAGTTGTTGGTTAAAAAACAAACAAAACTTGCAAGGCTTGTGTCTGGACTTTGAAAACTGGCCTAAAGGCATTAAAAATCCCCAAATTGAGCTTGTTAGGAGATTAGCAGTGTGAAACTTGACAATGCATACAAAATCCTGCAGGAACATTTGAGCAGTGTGTTTCATGCCCGCTGAACAAATCTCAAGAGTGTAGGCAGGTAAAAGCAGTCATGTAAAATCCATAACTAAATGAATTCATAATCTAATAAAATTTGTCATGTTTGAATCCATGCAGAAATTATGGTGAGAGATAACAAATCAAAAGATGAGAAGTGCATTCACTGTGTTCATATATATTTAGAACTGTGCCCCTCCCCCCAAACAAATTCTGACGTTATTACTTGAAAACCTATTCTCTAAACATTTGGAAATGGGTAGCTTATGTTCTATAAAGGCACCCCATAGACATATTTCTGAAAGGATATAAATATCACAGTTCCTGCTCTGCATGTAGGTTTTTTTGTTGTTCATGTTCTGGGCTTGAGCTTGATAAAAACACAGAGATAATTAACACCTACCTAAGAGGTTAGAGGTGATGCCAGATCAAGTTCATCCTAGTTTTAAAAGTATAAATGTATTTTGAAAATAAATGTTTTGTTAGGGTGAAATTAAATAATGAAAAGCAAGCTACTTTAAGAATAGGAATTCTTGTAACATTTGTATTGGGGCAAGACACATTTTGTGCTAGGAAAATGGGCTTGTGAGTCTTTAAAACAAGAAGCCAAGATTGTGCTTGAATATCCTTTAAATATGGTTATGTTTTCTATTCCTCAGTCAGTTGCCTTGGACGATGAAGCATGATTCGCAAATGTAAACCTTGTCTATATGTAGACTGCTGCTTATTTAAGTTTGGGTGAAAAGAGAAGTCAATCACTTCTCTTGCGGTCAAGATCACAAACACAGTGTGGCAGTTTTAACAGGGTTTTTATCTGTCACAGACCGATCATCTTTTTGTTTAAAAAGTGATTCCCTGGTCCAACGATGTAGCACATTGTAGAACTGGCTGTTGTTATGTTACCTTCACTTAATCATCTTCAAGTTATTCCTAGACCGTTGCCAGATTTGATCTTGATGATCTGGACTTCTTTTTAATGTAGTATATAAAACAGAAAATATTTGACAGATGACAGACCTAACCAATACTTCAGCTTTAGTTTTACCTTGCAATTGACTTTGCACCAAATGCTGTGACCACATTGGTAAGTGGACAATATGGTGGTTGAACAGATGGCTATAAATTGTGGTCCAGGTGAAGCAAGTCATGTGGTTTCTTTAGCATGTACAGTTTGTAACTGCATCCACATTGACTGTGCCACTGCAAAGCTATTTAAAGTCAACTGAGGTCTGGTGCAGTGAATGCTTGGTGAACTGGGTGTAAGGTAAAGCAGGCATTTGACTGCTTCAGCCGGTATGAATTCACTCCAGTTGCATTCTAAGCATGACAGTTTGGCTCTGGTGACCGGCCTTTCGATGGGGCAGTTTTTGTAATGTTGCCCCTCCCTTTCCCCATAGAGGTTGGAGATTTGGTTGATGAGTAAGAGGCATATTTGACTTTCGTGGAGTGCATTATGATGTTGACACTGGAGTCCAGCAGTAAGCAGAAGACCAGGTTAGAGGCTGCAGGACCACTGGCTGAGGACTTGGACCAGGTCCCTAGCTTTGAGCCTGATACGGGTGAATAGGGGCTCCCTGAACTTGACAGGC